TAGAAATCGACTCCTAAAACCACCTTTAAGTATTTTAGTTAAGAAATTCCGAAAACGTAACAGGATGTAACAAAAAAGAAACATAATACACGACACAAAATATATAAAAACAACGGAAAACAACAAATAAATATTCACAGACAATGAAAAAACGCTTAAAACTATTTTGAGGAGACCGTGAACATTACTTGTGTCAAAACCAGCACAAAAACCCCTAGGATCTACAGAAGCCATTTTAACCTGAGGAATAGCAACATAATTTAAAGCTGCTCTGAGCCACACGGTTACTTACATTCCGAATCCAAAACCTCCGTTAAAATGTGCTGAGAATGCTTTGATGGGACAAAATTATGATTTTTTTTTACTCCATAATTTTGTCCCATAAAGATACTTTTTTCCTTTTACGGTTAACTGGCAACGAATGTGGCGTTTTCTTTAAAAAAAAAATAATGAGCACAGCTCTGAGAAACCTCGCTTCTATTTTTCAGAGAACATAATTAAGCACTGCTGGAATTAAAAGATACATTTTCTTTATTGTTTTCTCAGGAATTCGTAGGCGCTGATCAAGATATATATATATGTTAAAATAATTTGATGTTACGGAGGCGGGCAAAAGGATGCATCTTATCTTAAATACTCCTTTATACAGTCATAACGAAACCTCGCTCCTCACGGATATATTGAAGGTTATGTGGAAAAAATGAACACCCATTACAGTATCAGCTAACAGAAAACTGATATCTGCATTCATAAAACCTCGCTCTCCATTAACAAACCAACAGACTGCATAGTTTTATTAAATGGAAATGAAAATTGCTCTTCGTGTATGTAGTTTACAGTAATTAAATTGTTCTTTTCATGCATTTTAATTTCCTGACAAAGCGTCAGCAACCGCAGACTGAACGTTTTCCACGCATGACGGTAGAAATGAATGAAATACGCTAAATACACTAAAACTCACCGACAAAACAAAAAGATTAACACTGCAAGATCATGTGGGACTTTTCTGGTAACTGTTTCCAAGACGTTTTCGAGAAAGGTGTATAGGTACTGTATACAAAACAACAACTACCGATAATTGAGGTAAAGAACTCTGCTCTCATGAAAGTAAGCTAACGAAGACCTGTAGGTTTATATAAAAATATCCTCTTTTTTCTCAAAAAGGCAAGTTTTGTCTCGTTAACGTTGCGATAGGTTGACAAGACTTTGATCCCCCACAGTGAACTCCATTATTTGTGTCTCCTTTGATAAAGATGAGAAAAAAGGCTGTATAATATAAACACGGGTTATGAGCTATAGGGTAATTGTCCAACACGTGGAATATATTTCACTGCATTCATGACTCAAAGCCATCGACCAAAATGATCAAATTACAATTTATTATTTTAAAAATAATCATAAAGATGAGCCATTTTTGCTCTAGTTTTGGAAGACGGCTGTGTGTGTGTAAGACTTGAATTAGGCATCAAGTAGTTTGTAAGCCTTTGACACAGGATGATTATTTCCTTATAGATTTTCTGATATGAAATCATCTTCCTTTTTTCTTTGAACACCTTTAAATGACATTTGAAAAAGGTGTTGAACCCCACATAAAAGTGACTTTTAACAAATTCCCCTTTCCTCTTTTGAAGTACCAGTATCTTGTAACACATCATCACTGCTAAAATATTTTGCACATTTTGGCCTCAATAAGTAAGCGCAAGCAATAAGCTCGGATTTAATCCCATGGTTCTCTTTTCAGTATAAAGCCCTAAAATTTTAAAATGGCTTGTGCCTACAGACGTGTAAGGTTGCCTTTGCAAATTTACTGTTTTCTGGTTGGCATGCTAGCTCTGAGGGTGAATTGGTTTCATCATCTAGGTGGTGGAGGGGAGCCCCCACTGCCTGTAAAGCCCTTTGAGTGGAGTGTCCAGAAAAGTGCTATATAAGTGTAAGCAATTATTATTAATGATTATTCACCTTAAATATAACTGTAATGCCTGGTTAGTGTCAACATTTCCAGTTCTCAGGAGCTTCAAAGCTCCTGAGAACTTTGAAGTTCGTACAGAGATGTACGGGTGAAAGATTCAGTGATCAAAGCAATTGTAAAGTTGACCTTGGCATCAGCAGTATATGGGAAAAAAGAAGGGACAGGAGGACATGAGAAGAGACAGAAGGTGAGAGCTCCTTGTCCAGATCATTCAGAAAGACCAAACTGGAGTTAGCTTTTTGAACCTCATTAAGAGAACTTGCTCTTCTGTTGTTTTTAGGGAAACTCTGATCTCCTGTATAGAGATAGTGTGCATGAATTATTACTCTTCACCAAAGCTGTGCCAGAGAGCAAAGAACTCAGGTGCCTCCTAATTATTCCAACCAGCCAGGTATACTCTTGGGGAAGATCAAGTTGGAGGTTATGATCATTTAATTCACTTATTGACCAACACATTTGGCCTATTTCTGATATTTACAATTTTCAAATTCAAGTTTATTGTCCTATGTACCGAAGTACAATGAAATGCTTACTTGCGTGTTTTCCTCACATGACAAATTACATAAAAGTTGACCTAACGCTGGCAAAGAACCCTCTATGTGTAACATTATTAGTGTATATATAGTATAATGGGGGTAGCATAGCGTTAGTCTGCTTCACACCATGGAAATTACCTCCATAAATACTGGGGCAGTGAAGCCAAAAAGTGCTATTTTTGCTGCATGGTCTAGCAATTCAGATTTGAGATGAAAAGATGAATATGAGGCAAAAGTTCAGAGTGTCACCTTTTAATTCTGAGTATTTCTGTGTCTATATGCTTTATTGAGGCTCCACGGCCGAAATGTTGTGTTTTCTTTCTTCTCTTTTCGGCATGGAATAAACCTGTTACATGTTTTAGAATAGTACCACTTTTTGTGTTCCATCCCCCCCATTTTAGGTGAGTATAAGCATTGGGACAATCGTTTGTCAGGTGTATCTTATTGGTCAGGCCACGTTTAACATTAAGCTGCCATTCAGAACTTCAATCCAGTTTAATTACCTAACTAACATTTAATCACGCAATTAGTAGATGTTACCATCTACTGCCATCTGTCCGTGTAATAAAGACCACTTATGCCTGATATTTGGCACACCATTACCTTGTTCATGTGGGTTTTGGAAAAAGAAATGCAAGACATTTTATGCCCAAGATGTTTCAGCAATAAGATACAGAAAAAAAGAGAGAGGCATGTTTGAAAGGGGGTTTCTGGGCATTGGTAAACAGGACATGACATTCTACTACTGAAACAGATCCAAGATCCATCTGCCTATTCTCCATGGGTCTTCACCCATAAGGTTTAAATCTTAACACATTTCATAAACAGGCATGAACAAACACGTTCAATGTGGTTAAATTTAAACAGCAGTTAGAAAACGGGAACAATGATTTAATCTTACTATCACTTTTTCATTCCTTCTTTCCCTACACTTCAGCGATTTCAGCAATGCCACTTATGCTTTTTCGTTTTTGTTTATATTACAGGGGAAGGTGGTTTGCACAAAGCCTTATCTAATGAGAGCTTAACAGACCACTTCCTGTGAAATACCCCAACGTTTGCATTTCCATGATCTATATACTATTTTTTGTTTCCATCTGTCTTATCTACTGTTTCTGCTAAAACTGTATCAAAACCTAACCTAATAATGATTCTGAAGAAGGCATCAGCCCAGAAACCAATTGTATCCCCAATAAAACCCTTTCCTAGAATGGGCTGGAATGCATGACATTAGATGCAAGTCATAGACGTTGTATTGCATAATGCTTTTGTAAACATGCGGGATCAAACTACATGCCGTTGAATCTCAAATGGATCGTACATACAATGAGCCAGTGACTAACAGTTAAGATGTGGGAAGGAATCTTGTACCAAAGGAGAAATCTGAAATCTGGTTAAATTATTTTTAATTACGTACAGCAGGTCTTTTGGCACTGTAGTCATAAATGGGTGTCCTAAACAAAAAAAGACGTATAAACTTAACCGCGATTTCCTACTCCACATTGCTAAGCACTGAAGGTAGTTAAAAAGATCTTTGAGGTAAAACGATCAATCAGCTTCAATATAAACACAGAAAACATGTCTAAAGTTACCAACTTTGAATAGTGATGCAGTAGGCCTTAATACAAAAACCTCCTCAATCAACAGCCAATAAAACCACTTTTTTCATGGTACACCTTTGTTGAAAATATTTCCAATTTTAGTTTTTCCATGTAAAAGTACGTCAAAGCTGTTGAACAGTGAAGCGATAAATAAATAATCTTTATACAGCTGGAGTAAATAGCGAATCTCTTCCAGGACACTTTGACACAAAACAGGATTATTTGGTTGCGTGTAACTGAACTAAATGAACGTTCAATCGATCGCTTTCAAAAATCGTTATTGATGCACTGCTACCACATCGGACCGAAAATGTGTTTTACTTTTTCATAATACTTCAGGTGTATCACAAATAATTTTTTAAATTTTTCTTCTTTATGCGCAGTTAGCCGTTTTTTAGAAGATGTGATGTCTTCATTACATTATGAGTTTATTTTTCCACTGACAACCAATCTAACGTCCTCAACTATTAGACTCGGACTATTACTTAACCAACTGGCTGCGCGAACATGAAACCAAAGTACTTTACGCGTCGATTCAATAAAAGATGCTATTTATTTTTAAAAACATATATAAGACTACTGTCTTGTCAGGTGCCGCGCAACATTTAAACAGCAAGACGAATTCTTTATCGCACGATCTGCACGTCAATTTTACTGCCACTTTTAAATCCTGTTCTGGCGCAAAATGACCGAACAAAACTAACAAACACGAATATCAGATAAAAAGAGTTACAGCCCTTTGTGAAAACAAAAGCAAAAGCCGACACACATAAGAAAAACAAACAAACTAACAACACGCCTCACCCGCAGATAACTACAGGACTGAAAAAACAAACAACAACAAAACAACTTTTTTTAGGGCAGAATTAAAATTAAAGTTCGAGGAAAACTCACCTTCTCCAAAAAGGCCATTTCAGCAAAAAACGCTGGGCTCTGCATTCTATCTTCCAGGTGGGGAAGCCCATTAAAAACCGCAGATCCGCCTCCCATGGGGACATATGACGGTTTGTTCCGAAATAAAATGACAACCAGCAGGTGTGTGGGTCACTAGCACCAGGGAACCACTTTCTAGATCTTTATTATACACATAGATTTACACCTGGCAGCCAGTCTGACATTAAACTAGCAATGTAAGCTAAGCGCTTCTTCATGTAGAACATGTACTGTAAGGGGACGTCTATCCCTGCACTGACGGTATCTAAGTATCAGTGGGGTGGTTTGAGTCTCACACATACCAGGCCCTGAATCATTGTGCCAATTTCCAATGCATCCGAGTTCACAGTTTGAGTTCAGTAGCTCTGTGCTGCCCCCTACAGCTCATCGTAACGCTGAGTCGAACCTGCACTGGATTTATATTGAGAGTAATGGTCAATGCCTTCTTAACATCCAGAACTTATCAAATACAAAATCACTAATACAGAACCCTTTCCCTTACTGACGTTGCACTCGAGTTGTGCAGCTGAATGACATTTTTTTGCACTACAGGTGCACTCGTAAAATCGAGCCAAAAGGAAAATGCCTAAGAATGGCAGAAAACACAGATCAACACAATGTCAAAATTCACGTTTTGCAACATGATCAAGCAGCTGCAAACAGGAGTGAACAGGAATAAAGGATCTTCTGTATTGAAAAGGATGTGGAAGTCTGCGACAAGCTGTCAATGCTGATATCATCACTACAGTAGATCAAAGAGTTGCTTAGTAAGCAGGTGGTAAAATACTCTATGGGTCTCTGCTCATTACACATTTAAACATTAAGGCAGTGGTTCTCAATCTTGGTCCTGCAGCGCCTGCGAGTCTGCTGATTTTTGTTCTAACTTAGCCCTTAATCAGCAGTTCCACTTGTTTCCTGTAGCTTACTGTTCTTTTCAGGCATTTACCAAGGTAAAAGCAAAGGACAGGAGCTGGACTTTGGGAGCAGGGTAGCTGTTCTTCTGACAAGTTATTTTAGTTCTTTTGATGATATTCTAATTCGACAGACAGGTAAGCATAGCCAGACTGGAATGAGGGAAAAGCAGGTGCAAAACCCATGATGCAACATATATTAAATCAGTCACCTACATCAGTGACGGTCAACCCCCATCCTTGTTATGCAGCTTTAAACAACCGCCCCATGAAGATGACGAGAAATACAGCTTACATGACTGTATATACAGTGAAATAGGTCATTAAAGCCGAGAAAGAATGACAACCAGAAAAAAAATGCTGTAGAACTGGAGTTGCCAGTACCTAGGGGTAATATAATGGGGTACATGAAACAATTTTTACCAAAGTAAGATTTATTGAAAACACTTTAATGTGTACTTTTTTTGCACAGATCACATAGAGCAGCAAACACACCACCTACTGATAGAAATGGCTGATATCACACGACAGGAATGCACCACATCCTGTGTTCCAAGTCATCAATAAATACAGCATACTTGTTCATTTTCTGCAGGCAACATATAGTGTAAAGGCTGCTAATGATACAAACGTACTCTGTATCGATGAGGCAATCACTGGTACCGGGAAATCACCTCGATGGCATACTTCAAACCTATAGCATTCCTCCACTGCACTGTACCCCAAACAGCTAAAATTGACAGAAGTACAACATCCCTACAACAGTCCTATTTCCTCAGCAGTGGAAGTATGAGGTTGGACTTTTAATGCGTCGACTGAAAAGTGGTTGCAAGGTCGTCAGGCTTTTCTTCCAGCTGTAGGTCTTAATTCATTTCAGGGTTTAATTACTTGCTTGAAGGGAATGAGAATTCCCTAGAAGATGCCAGGGAAAACTCAACATCTGGAAAAGGCCCGTTTCAAAGCCTTTTCAAACTGGAGTGAAAGTGCTGCAACTCCTCCAGTCAAACCAGTAGTTACACCCATTAAGAGGGAGGAATCCTTCTTTTCCTGCAGGGATTGAGAAAGACCTGCAACCCCTGCAGGAAAAGAGCTCAGCCCCCTTCCGCACAAAACGCTCAGACTTGAAACGCAGGCGAACCGGATGCTGTTCTTAAATCGCGGTCGGGGAGTGCCCGGCTCTCTATTTGTAGAACTCGTGCTCCTGCTCGTCTTTCTTGATGACGGTCTTGTAGGCCTTCTCGAAGTCCTTGGCCAACACAATGTAGCGGTTCTCTCTCACAGCCAGCATGCCAGCCTGAGTAAAAAGGGAACAAGCGTGTTAAGCTAGTCTTGTTGCAACATGAACAATTCAATTAAGCCTGTTGCGGACGTCAAAGAAAAAGAGCTTTTCTACAACTCAATGTTCACAGCTCTAAATCAATTTGTCGCTTTGTATCCATCCATACTTTTTCTAAGGACTTCATCCCATTCAGGGCTGCAGGGGAGCTGGAGTCTATCCCAGCAAGCAGCGGGCGCAAGGCAGGACACAGCCTGGGACGATGGCACGCCAGCTCATCACAGGCCACACAGAGACTTTCATTTCACTGTGTATCCTCTGGTTGCATTTCAGCAGTGATCAATCCTTCTTATTCATTGAAATATTACTAGATTTTTTTGCCATGTCTGGTGCGATATCTGCTTTCTCGTGCACAATTTGTAATGAAGTTGTGTTTTCAGGTAGAGAAGAATAAAAAAAAACCTTACCATCTAAACATCAGTTAGAAAGACTTTTTTATATTTTAAATTTACAAAAACTCAGATTTGAGCACACTAAGATTTGCATAATAGTCACCAGGTTATGTGGAATAAAACCTGTTAAGTTGGTGCAGCAGTAAATTTTAAAAATACAGAACAGGCAGAGCAGTGTCGCCTTTTTCCTTACAGAGAGGATATTGTTTACTGCCACTGGATACAAAGAAAAAAGCAAAGCTATCTTGAAATCACATACTCTTTAGTTAAAAATGGCCAATTTAACCAACTGAAAGATACACAAATGCAAGCAGGGAGGACAGAAAATATTCAACGTATCTTGCTTGGTTAAAACTTCTAGTCTCTACAAATTCTTTCAGAACACGGGGAAGACATCTTCCCCTGCAGCAAAAAAAAAAAACTTACCTCCTGACAGATGGAGTTAATATCGGCACCTGATATCTTGTCTGGACGTGCTACATCTGAAGAACCAGGTCAAGAAGGCTAACAGAAACCAAGACACAGGAGATTGGTTGTCCCAGTGGATTGGAGCTCTGGATTCCAGTCCAGTCTGGGAGGGACTCAGCCAGGAGATGTAAGTGGACACCGAGGTCATTCCACACACAGGAGGCACGGATGGGTCTCCACATCCAGACTTGAGTAGACTCCAGCTCTTAACCCAAAACCAACTGACTCATAAAACAGGCTTTTTAAAGCTTGCTTGAACCCCTTTCTTTGTACTATAGCTTGAAAGGTTTTGGTGTGTTACATTTTTTTTTTTTGCTTGTGTACACCTTGACTAATTTGGAATAAAACTATTATACGATCTGCTTGCCACAACCGGTTCTCACCTGGGATGAGGTTCTCACCTTGCACTGCTGTGAAGCTGCCTGGTAGTTTGTTTTACATTATAACAGATCTTTGTAGAATTTTTGAAGGGATGCTACATGTCCCGATATTAACCAGTTCAAACTTCCAGTCCTTCCTGTCCCGGGCAACCTCAATCCAGCTAGTCTTAAAGTTCGCCAATTTTAAAGATTGGCAACACCTGTAAGTAACTTACAAAACAAGCAAGCGATCTAAATGCTCAATAAATCACTTAATGTAACAAATCACCTGTTAAAATGATCAGAAAGGAGTTGCATCATATAATTATACATTGGTTAGTTAATGGTAACCTTCAAAACCCGGTGGACTGTGGCTCACAACATAAAAAACACTAAAATCTTTCTAATACCTCACAAACTACATCTTTCATAACCGGATGCTAATCAGAAAGATTCTTATTCTTGTAAAAAGAACAGAACTAGTGTTGGACAGGATGATTATGTTGTCCTAAGGTTCTGAAGGTTGATTTTTTTAGACGCATTATGACGCAGATGGTAAAAAACACCAACAAATTAAATTTATAAAGATGAAGTCCCTGGAATTTTGCCTTTATTATGGGTCTGTGTGGCCTGCTGTGTTGAATAAAAAGTGTATGGCTGCTATGTAGTAAAGCTTGTGAATCCGATTTTGGAAAGCAACAGAAGTGAGTGACGATGGGTTCTCTAGTTAGGATACAATCTTCCAGGTCCACCTCCTCCGAGAGGTTCATCTTGCTGGTGATGGTGGAGAAGACCAGGCGTTTCTGGCGCCGGTCCGGCAGGGGAAACTCGATCTTGCGGTCCAGTCGGCCAGGCCGCAGCAGGGCTGGGTCCAGGGTGTCTGCTCTGTTCGTGGCCATGATCACCTGGGGCAGACAGCAGTCAGACACGGGTCAAATCGCTTCTGCCATTGGCCACTCACAGTGGCTTCTGAAATGCACCATGAACTAACTGCAGGCACAGGGAAAAAAATGAGCCTGACCATCCATAGCAAGGGTCCTTTAATGCAGATGTGGACAGCCATGGCTCTTCCAGTCCAAGCAATAACGTAGCTTAGATGCTTCCAATGTACTAACTGATGAATTGACCCTTGATTGCATTATTGAAACAAATGCTTCACATCCATCCATGGGAAGATACAACCTAACCCGGCAAGCAACAGACGCAAGGCGGGATACACTCGGGACGGGACGCCAGTCCATTGCAAGACACACGCAGAGATAAGAATAGATACTGGCGTGTACACACTCACACCAGGGCCAATTTCCCCAGGAGCCCACTATCCCCTTTAGACTGTGGACTTCTTAGATCAGTTCAGGCTTCAATGATCTCATGAAGGTGGGATGGGCTGAAAACCAGCAGGAGTGTGGGTCACCAGCACCAGGGCTGGGAACCACTTTCTAGATCGTTATTATACGCACAGATTTACACCCGACAGCCAGTTAAAAATGATTAAATTAAAATTAATTTCTTAAAATCAAAATAAAATGACATTTAAAGAGCAAAGGTCTTTCCTTTGGCACTAAACTAAAAACTCCCAAGTCGGTTTGGGCCGTGCGCACCTTGACGTTGACATTCTGGTCAAAGCCATCCATCTGGTTCAGCAGCTCCAGCAAAATCCTCTGAACTTCTCTGTCGGCTGAGATGAAAAAACACAAATGTGAATCATTAGATCAATGGCTAAAGACTGACTGGAGTGTTAGACGCATCCTGTTACCTGGAATTCACTGTGTTAGATATGGATTGTGGCACTCACACTCACAGCGTTGACGAGAACTTAACCGATTTCTGCTGCAGCTAGGAGGACAAAATCTTGCTTAGGGATTTCCTCTAAAAGCCTCTGATCATCCCGATAAGAGTTTCCAACTCGGCCCTTGCTCTCGGCACTTAGGAATAATGCGATATCCCCATGATTGATCACAGGGGACGCTTGCCTGTTGCTCTTGGGGAAGAGGCACCGAAGACAAGCAGCGAACACGTACCTCCTGTCTGGGCGTCGAAACGCTTGGTTGCGATGGCATCGATCTCGTCGATGAAGATGATGGCGGGGGCGTTTTCCTTGGCCAACCGGAAGACGTCGCGTACCATCCTCGGGCCCTCCCCCAGGTACTTCTGAACGAACTCTGAGCCAACGACTCTGATGAAGGCCGCTGATCGGGGGGGGGGGGGCGTAAGAGAAGAGTCAAAGACAATCACTGGTTCTTTTTCCAGTTCTATCAACTGCTAGAAACAAGAAACTGCTAACTAACTCAGCTACTATCGATTTACAGGAAGGACACTGCAGAAACCAATCACTGTTTTCAATGGTGTCCGTCCTGCAATTTGATAGTAACTGAATTAGCAAGCAGTTTCTAGTTACTCACACTGCATCCTGCTGAACTGAATCACCTATTAGGGTTATTAAAAATCTGACATTTTTCCAATCCTCTCTTCAGCCTCAAAGGACTCAATTTCCTTTTATCTGTCTTGAGAGTCATCTCCCCTAAGCGATACAGTTAAGCCTCTTAAGCAGACTTCTGGGCATTTCCTACGCTGTGAAGACCACACCTGCACACCTGCACGTGGTCTACCTAGTGCACAGTACAGAGCATAACAGGGATGACTCTTGCCGTCATACCCGTCGTGTGGTGAGCTACTGCTTTGGCCAGCATGGTCTTCCCACAGCCCGGGGGTCCATACATCAACACTCCACGAGGGGGGTCGATCCCGATCTGGAACACACACAGACACACACTTGGGTATTTAGGCCCCGATTTTTGCCTTTTACTTATCTTATTCCTCACACACGGCGCTTTTGTGGACACTCCATTCAGAGAACTTTAGAGGTGATGGGGACTCCCCTCCGACACCACCAATGTGCAGCCCCACCTGGATGATGCGATGGCAGGCACAGTGCGCCAACTCTCACTACACACCAGCTCTCAATGGAGAGGAGAACAGAGTGATGAAAGCCAATTCAAAGTTGGGGAGTATTAGGAGGCCATGACTGGTAAAGTAAAATACAAGAAATTGTATATGGCCAATAAAGTGATCTTATGCCTGCAAGAGCCCAGGAGGCTGCAGAGGGCACTGTCACCAGGAGCCAAACATCCCTGACTGGATGAAATACATGCTACCTGCAAGCAGCACAGCCCCTTGGACAATCCCAGCCACAGTCAGCTAGTGACATGAGCCAGGCTGAGACAGGTGAGGGGCTTGGTGGAGTCTCCTAACAGTGGAAAATTCGGATCAGTTTCCCATCTCTGGCACTGCTTTGCCAAGCGACCCTCTCCTTCCCTGGGCACTGTACCTGTTTGTAGAGTTCGAAGTGCGTCAGCGGAAGCTCCACAGCTTCTCTGACCTCCTGCTTCTGAATGTCCATCCCGCCGATATCTGCATACATCACGTCCGGCTTCTGATCTGCACACGGAGAAAGAGAGATGCACTATTCTACACCTCTTCCCAAAGTGTTTGACTTTAGCCAGGAGGGGGAGATTCACTGTGTTCCTCACAGCAGAGTAAGCAACACTTCTAGCATGTGGTGAGAGAAATGCAGATTAGATGGAGAAATCACTCAGCCAATTTAAAAACAGGCAGAAAATTAGGAAGACCACAGTGTGAAAACCTGTGCTGAAATTTATCCCAAGCTCTGGACAAAGCAAGTGTCATCTTTCCGAAAGGGAAGTCTGATGTTTCAAGAGAAGTGGTCAGGGAAAATAGTGTAACATCATGGGAGAAAAAAGGAACTTCCTACAGCACAGTGCAATGGTCACCATACTAGGATACTGGCTTGGAGCTTCTGTCTCAGGGGAAACAGCAACATCTAACGTCCCAACAATACCACATCCAGCAGGAAAATGATTTTCCTTACTAAGATCCACAAAGGTGCACATTCCAAAACAGTATTTGCTTTCATGAGAAACCCACTGCGTCGGAAAAAGTGACAGTTTCGAGTGGGCTAAGATCTACCAAGGACGCAGCCAGCAGCCAGAACAAACCTTGTCATAACAGAAAGAGCACAAGACCGCCCTCACTCTAGATGGGACGCCACACCATCCCATCAGTGATGGGCTTTTGTATTAATACCAGGTGAACCGTTATTGCCACCCATCGCCACGATGCGCTTACCCGATGTGAGCATCATGATGCTGCTGTCGGCCTCGGGAGGCAGCACGTCCACCAGGGCGTTGCTGTGTTTGTGCAGAGCCACTGAGGCGTTGGGCTTCAACAGCTCCCGGTCTATCGTGCTGAGGATCCGCACGTAGTAATTGGACCCTGACGGGAAAGGAGAAGCAGGGCCGTTGCACAATGACGGCAGCACTGTGTTTCTGCAATCTCTTCCTCATTGGACCAGCCAGCATGCTGCTGTCAGTATAACCACTACCACACACACACATTCCACTGTCCGGGTTAGATCGAGGTACTGTGAACCTTTCCTTTTCTGTTTACTCTACCCTGCATTGTATCTCTCACTGCCACACGGATTGGTCTTATTTTAGTTGCAAATGCTTGACTTGTTTTCTTTGTTTTGTTTTTTTTTAGATGCTATGTACTGAATATACAGCCTCATGATTGTTTTCCAACTTTGTTTCTTTTTATTTGGCACCAGCATGCTGCATTATGGCCAGACATGAACTGGGGATGTCTGGGCTCATTGTAAAATTAATTTAGAGGCGATCAGGCAAAAATGTGCATTTTAAAAGCCGTGTGAGGGTGGCTTACCGGTGGTGGAGCCCACGATGGCCGTGTTCTGGTCCACAGCCTCCAGGAACTGGCCAATGACCAGTGGGATGCTCTGAATCCTCTTGACCTCCTCCTGGGCGTGGAGGAACTCCTTCTTCAGATTCTTCTGCTCGTCCTTGATGTACTCCTCCTGCACCTCCAGGAACTCCAGCTCCTGCTGCAGTTTCTGTGGAGCAGAGAAAAACTGGGAAAATGTATTGTGCACACACTGGAGCAACCCAGGACAGACCAATTAGGACCCTGCTGGATCACACCTACTGCCTCTCTGTCAGCTTATTCTGAGAAGGAATCACGCGATTCCACTGATTTTACTCAGTCATCTCCGGCCGGTTTCTGTGTCTGGCCAAAGAAATGCACGCTGCACTTTAAAAACATTCTAAGGGCCGCGTCTACGGTTTTGACCGCTTGTGCAATTAAAATTCAACATTTAGCACATGTGCTTCGCCGTCCTTGTGAAGGAGATCAGGCAGAATTTCACATCCCAATGACCCCAAACCTTGCATTTTGTTTTGAACTAGTTTGCAAAGGAACAAGTAATAGGTTTAACTCCATGCTGAAAAGAGAAGAGAGAAAACACAACGTTTCGGCTGTGAAGCCTTCCTCAGGTGTGATATTCCAGTGCTGCGCCCAGCTGAGGCAGAGTGGGCCTTGCTCCCAGTCAGGCAGGATCAAACTGGGACCACACTGTCCAACTGATTCATCCGCTGGGCTTGCGTGGACAGAGGGTGTTTCAGAAGCCGCCACGGCAGCAGGGGTCAGGAGACGGGAGGCAGACTGACCTTGTAGCGGGTGTACAGATCTTCCAGGTCCTCGGGTTCAGCCGCCAGGAAGGACAAGCCAGTCTGTGGCCGGGAAGTGGACAAGGGGGGCAGCTCATCCTGCGAACACACAGACACGCACCTCACAACAGGCTGGGCTGCACCGAGCGCAAGTGATCAAACAGCCGTTCGCACCTGCAGAATGAAAGTCAAAAACCTTTTCGCACATAATAAGTTTTAAAAAAAGCACAGGCCTTCCAGTCTAACAATCCCATTCGGTAATCCTTGGCTCAGTACTCCAAGGTTCTCATCCAGGTGTTTTTTGAAAGAGACCAGGGTACCGGCTTTGACAGCAGAGCTGGGAGACTTGTTCCACGCTCCCACAGCTCTTGGCGTAAGGCGGTGCCTCCTGTACTTGGTTTTAAATATACCTCTATACAGATTCCACTTGTCTTCTGGTTCCTGATTCGCCGATTCTGAAAAACTTTGGCAGCCTGATTCAGAAGGCTTTTCAGCCCCAGAATATATCTGATCCCTCTCCTCTGGACAGATCCCAGAGCCACAATATCTTTTCTATATTGAGGTGAACAAAAATAACATGCTAAGCTATATACACTTAAAAATCCTTTTTCATTGCAGTTACCAAATAGGCCAACTAATATTGTAAACACATTGTACGTAACACCTACTGAAAAAAAAAGCAGTTTAATGAGTTACTGCGTGTTGATCCAATTTAGAAATGGCCAGTTGGAGTCCTTGACAGGGAGCAACAGGGTGTTGGTATTTCATTTCAAATTATCTATACTATATATTATATATTATATATATCCGCATCAAAACACGCAGAATTGTATGAAGACAATCTGGACACAAAGATGCAGAATGAAATTGTAAATTTAGCATTAAAATCATCCCTCGTTTAAACGGAATACACCTGCTGGAAATAAACTTCCCTAGACGCAGACTGTAGTTATCCTATTCGAATACATCATTTTTGTTTCAAGCTAAATTGTGGCGAAACAAAACACGTTTCTAATGGGCACGGTTATTAAATACTTCAAACAAAAACACCTTTCTTCGGTATCTTTTTTTAAAACGTTTCTGAGGTCTTTAAGTAGTGATACAGAGAGTAACATAAAATCTTGCTAAGGAGATAAAGCGATTTTTGACGTCGTCTTTGTTCAGGAATATCGCTCTGTAAGTCATTTAAGTTTGCAATGAACATGTTACACATACAACTACGATCAGCATTTCCAAAAAGTTGCTAATTCTTAGACGTTACAGGAAGATAGTAAAACAATTATTAAACACCTAGAAGGCCATTCAAATATATTTCTGCAACTGTCAGGCCTAGCTGAATGAATCTGCACCTTTTATTAAACAACTAATAGTAAACAGCAACGGTACTGTTTAAATAAGGACTGAAGGGTCTCCGTGGCCGCTGAAAATACTCTTCGGACAACTTACTTGTAGATTTCTAAAGAGGCGCTTTCCGAAATTAAACAGAAATTACATACCTGAGTCTTTTCTACTATCACACCAATTTCCTCCATGTTTGTTTCGCCTGTTCGACTAACGCAGACTCATACCGGCCCGGAAGTACCGTCACTGTCCGGGAACGCGTTGCATTGTGGGGCTTGTAGTTTACAACATATTTCTACAGCGCCGTAAAAAATATTATGAGAGAGGCTATTGATCAAAGGCAGAGCAGAGCTACCTTAGTCACAGATTAATCTGTATTATTCTAAATATAAATGATGTCATTTTTTAATGGTATCACTGCATGTTCACTGTATGTTCAACTATCTAATTTGGCCTTAAAATATATTTAAATTTGTTTCAGTTTATGCGATGAAAAGCTTATTTGCATGTATGCTCAATGGCAACAGCAACAACAAAATTAAATAACACACAACTTTAAATGAAAGCGTGCAAAAATAAACATCAGTGTGAATCAGTGGTAGAGGTGGAATTCAGCACTCTGACAGCTTGCAGGAAGAAGCTGTCTCTGAATCCGGAGGTTCATGTCTTTGTGCTCCTTTGACTCTTACCAGAGGGCAGGGGAGAGAAAGTGAGAAACCAGGACGATTGTTGTCCTTAGCAACACTTCCAGCCTTCCCGAGACAGCGAGTTGTAAAAATGTCCACAACAGAGGGCAGCTGTAATCCGATGATGGACTGGGCTGACCTGATCACCCTGTAACTCCTTTCTGTCAGACAATGGGCTGCTCCCAAACCGTTCTTGTACAATGCAACTCACTACAGGAGTGCCTAGCTTCTCACTAGCTTTGTGAGTGTTAAATATTTGCCATCAAAACTGCTACTTCCATTAGCAAATACAGCAATACACACTCTTGAAAATGAACTTACGGGGGGGAAATGTTGGCACTTAAGCTTAGCAGTGCCAAAATCCAAACTTCTTTCTGAATAACCGGGTTCAGATGGATCACTAGGCCTGGGGATTTCCTTACTCTAAGCACGTTTGTGATCAAAATATAGAATATCGCCACGACGACCAGCACACCTGCGAAATGGGTTGTTGTCGTTTCACCAAAATATCTTGGCCTTTGTCAGAAACACTTTGGCTTCGTCATACACAATTATGAACAGCACTTAAATTGCTAACAATCACGCTTTTAATATATTCTGTTTGGGGGTTTCTTTTTTCGGCCTGCCTGAAGCCCATCTGAAGTATTGGGGTGGTATTTGATGAAAGAAAAAGGAAGTTGAAGCTAAAATTGAATGATGGCCCGCTGTCAAATGTGTCCCAATAATGAATAACTCAGGTATGAATCAGCCATATCCAAACTATAGCACGCCCAAACGGTGGGTAAGGGCTTATTTATCTAGGTGAAACAATCTGGAGTCTCCTGGTAGATTCTCTGAAATGTACAATTGGATGAAATTGTGCCTTTATGCATAATATTTCCATACCACCCGTCTTGGCCCCGAAGAAAGTAGATTAGTGTTAAAAGAGAAAAAGAAAAACAATCTCGTCTTTTCCTGGAAGGAGGGGGGGGGGGGGGGGAGAAAAACAGGCCTCCTTCAAGAAGCAATAACTTTAATGAGCTCTCTAGAGAGAAGGCTGTTTTTTATGGGAAGTGCCCGGGTGCAGAAGCGTCTTTAAATTAAAATCATACATCTTGCGGCCTGTAACTAGCTTGACAGTGGCGCTTGTGCTTCACCATCCTGCTGAGGTGGGAGTTTTGAGTTCAACTTTGCTGAAAGGAGCCTCTGAGGGTTGGGTTTCTGTAAGACAGCTCAGACGCCTGAGACAACTGCTTGGTTAACTAATGGAATGTATAGACCTGCAAAGCCATAGCGTCTTCACCATAGTGGCTTAAAATGACCTGTCTAGTCCAGAATCTGATTCATATTCCCAAAGGCTGATGCCTTCTGGGTTTCATTCCAGCTTAGTTTTCTTAATTAGATTAATGACTCATTATTTCTGAACCAATTCTCATTATTGGCTCCATTGTTTTACTTTAATGGTTCCTCTGTCGAATGATGATGAAGGGGCTAGAAATAATTCTCTCTCTCTACCATTGGGGAATTCATCTCATCCAGACATAATGAACTCTGGACACATACTAAGAATATCAGAGTGAGAGCAGGGCTGTCTTTCGCATCTGGTTGTTTTAAATACTTCCTTCCTCATCGCCTGAGCCACAAGATGTAGTTTACAATCGCTCTGTTACGTATTGCTCTGCAGAAGTTTATCCAGCACTTTGCTGTTCAGGCGTCTTGCTAGATATCCTCATATAGAGCTTATCTACTCCATAATCCTCTCAGTGTTTGCTGTGTTACTTAGAACCGTGGGAAAAACCCAGCAAATGTTTGCACAGTCTCTCACATAATACTGGCACCCTCCATCCCTAGGAAACATATTTCTAAATGTATATGAGTACAGCTGGAAATTAGTAGGCAGTCACACCGATTTCACAAGGACAACTCTTCTAAGATTATTGATCACTCTTTCGTTGCCCGCGTGGAAAGATGTACTACATAGCTGAAAAGGAACAAGTCAAAGGTTCATTCCAGGCTGAAAAGAGAAGAAAGGAAACACAACGTTTCGGCTGTGAGCCTTCTTCAGGTGTCCACAGCCGAAGAAGCAGTCCAATGTCCAGCCTCATTATGCCACTATAGAGAACTGTTTCCTTCTAGCTCCATTTGTATGTGTGCCAGACCATATTCATCCATAGTGAACCATTATCATAGTACAGGGATTCATACACAGCAGCTACTGTTGGTAAACTGCTTATACTGTATCAACCTGCTGCACCCCAGACAGCCCCTGCATGACCCACAACCCCCAGCTTCTCGCCATTACCGTACCTGTGCTTGTGTGTTCCATTTTATAGAATAATAATTGCTTGCAGTTATATCGCACTTTTCTGGACACTCCACTCA